CGACGCACACCGCGGAGCCCTCCTGCGTTCGAAGCTGAAGCCAATGAACCAGGGGCCTGAGGACCTACGAGACGTCGAGGGTATTCGAGCGTTGCCCGGGATAGGCGACACAGGCGGCCGAGGATCCAACAGAGCGTCGCGGCAGAGGAAGAGGAGGAGAGCCATGTGGCGACACAGGCAGTCGAGTACCCAACACGGCGGAGGCGGAAAGGAAAGCGCCGGACGTAAGCGCCACCAGACGAGGACCCAACACGTAAAGTCGGTGTGCCGTTGACGTCGGCGTCGTAGGTGGGGAAATGCCACATGAGCAGGGCCAGCATCTGCCGTATCGGCCATCCTGTTCCCGCATTCCTGGTCAAGGGCACTGCTGCTCACCATGGGGGAAACGCAGGCGTGTCCTGCGCCGACGGAGGAGGAGGGGAGGAGAAGGCGCAGCCGATAGCCGCAGGACCTGGGAAACCAAAGGAAGAGGGAGAGCCGTCGTACGAGGGCGTCCGTGGGAACCCTTGATCGTTTGTGGCGGATCTCCTCACGGTACGCTGTGGGGGGACTGCCGCTGCCTCTGCCGTAGCGGCCCCAGTGACAGGCACTCCGCCAGCCAGTCCCTGACCATCAAGCCCCACCCCGGATGACGTAGCATGAGAGCCGTGTACGTCAGCAGGATGAGGGGAGGAGGAGGCGCAGCCGATAGCCGCAGGAACTGGAAAATTGTTGGAGGAGAGGGGGCGACGGTAAAGTCACTGCCAGCGTCCTCCTGCGGAGAATCCTCAGCCAACACTGTCGGGGGGACGCGCTGTCTACCCTTCCAGGTACAGCCACGTCGTCACTAGGGCGCCCTTCTCCCACCATCCCCAGAGTAGGCCCTGAGGCCCCGTCCCCAGCCGCAGTGGGATGGGCGGCATTCAGGGCACGGGCCCCCCATAAACTGCCCGCCCGTCCTCGCGGGGAGGCGGGAGGCGCGGGAGGAGATGGTGCAGGCTCGAGATACATCGTCGCATACTGGCCATCCTCCAAAGTCCGCGACTCTCATTCCACCAAACAGGGGGGAGGTGGTCCCCGACTTACTCTCGACGTTGGGTCTGCCAAGCCTAGGGCGATGGCTGCACCGCATGGGGAGATCTTCCCAGCCGCTGGCGGCAATCGGACTCCAGCCCCACATACCGCTCGATCTGCGACTTCTTCCTCCCCATCTGGCGGGTCTTATGTGGTGGAACCATGAGTAGGTGAGCCCCTGCCTGCTCTCCGACCAAAGGTCTGCGCTACCAGAGCACGTATGCCACGGAATACCCCTCGGAGGCGGCGTGCGTATGTCACGGAATACCCCTCGTGGCCGCCTCCTGGTTCCGGGTCGCAAAGGGGGTGGGCGTATAGTGGAGTGTGGCTGGTTCAGGCCGCTTCCACTTCTGCCGTATCGGCCATCCTATTCCGCAGTCCTGGTCAAGGGCACTGCTGCTCACCATGGGGGGAAACGCAGGCGTGCCCTGCGCCATCGGAGAAGGAGGGGAGGAGAAGGCGCAGCCGATAGCCGCAGGACCAGGTAAACCAAAGGAAGAGAAGGAGGGGGAGGGCAGGCGATAGCCGCAATTCAGGGGAAAACAGGAGAACGGAGAGGCGGAGGTGGGCCATGCGACACCGACTGCCGAGGATCCAACATGCGCGACACGATCACGGTGGAGACCAGGGACTGGTGGGGATACTTTTTTTATTTGCGGCCCGCAAGGAAAAGTCCAGAGGGCGGTGTGAACGAAGCTGGGGCACAGCGCACGATAATTAGCGCGAGAACGCGCGGAATGCACAGGCAAGACGATTAGGTAGAGAGGCAGCCACAGGTGGGCAACCACAGGCCAGACCCGCAGGTGGGGCCGGACCGAAACCCTGCCGGAGTGCAGCAGAGGCGAGTCGGCCACGGATGGGCAGACAGAATACAGGCCGGACCCGCACCTTAGCACCGCGGCCGACAACAGTCAGCGGAACGTCACACAGTGGCGCCAGCTCCAAACCGGGCGGCGAAGGACGGGGCGACAGGGGGGGGAGACTGGTGGGGATATTTTTTTTTTTATTATTATTATTTTTTAAAAATATAAAAAAAAAAAAAAAAAAAAAAAAAAAAAAAAAAAAAAAAAAAAAAAAAAAAAAAAAAAAAAAAAAAAAAAAAAAAAAAAAAAAGAAAAAAAAAAAAAAAAAAAAAAAAAAAAAAAAAAAAAAAAAAAAAAAAAAAAAAAAAAAAAAAAAAAAAAAAAAAAAAAAACGCAGGCGGAAGCGCCGGCGGGCGAGCAGTCACGGTCGGGCTGCGGCCGCGACGAATTCCCGGGCGCGCGCGGGGGCCGCGGATCAGGCGGCGGGGGGGGGCAGCAACCCAGGGCGTCTGAGAGGCCAGGCGGTCGTGCAAACTGCAACCCAGGGAGTCTGAGGGGTCAGTCACCCAAGGCGGTCGTGCAAGCTGCAACCCAGGGAGTCTGAGGGGTCAGTCACCCAGGAGCAAGCCAGGCGCGGCCAAAATGGCGCGCCGTACGTTCCCAGTCGTGGTCGTGACAAGCGACAACCGCGTGGTGGTGGGAACCAAACTCCGTGCGAGAAAGTCAGTCCAGGGAGTCTGACGGGTATGAGCAGACCGAAGCTGGCTGACGTCGTCCAGCAAGGAGGGGGATTCTGACAGCGCCAGCGAACCGTCGCAGCTTCAGAAAACGCATCCGCGGCAGATAGGGTGAGCCTGAGGCCAAACCGGCTAAGGCAAACGCCGAACAACTGCGGAGAGATGCGCCTGCGCGCAGGAGACCAGAGGTCTGGTGTGCCGCGGTGCAGGAGCACACGAGTACCCACCAGGTGAGGGACACACGGTCAATCGGAGGTGGGCGTGCACCAAACGACTAAGTGACGGCAGCGCCATGCGACCCACGCAGCCAAGTCGAGGAAAGCGCTCGAAAGACAGCAACTGTCGTATACCCAAGACAGCAAGTCCTTCACGGTCACAGAGTCCCAGGGAGTGGTCGCACAACTAAATGCGCGTGGGAGCGACGAAGAAGGACCGAGTGCCCGCCATACGCCGAGACCGTGCAGCGCAGTCCACAGGGTGGTAACGCAAGGCAACAGTGGGAGGCAGCACTGAACAGGGTCACGCTGGTGGGGATACGCGAAGCGTCAACAATTGGAATCGGAAGCCGTCGAAATCGAAGCGAGCCGAATCGGAGGGGTAGCCACCGTGTGCAGCCCCCGTGTGCAGCTCCCAAGTGTGGCCCCCAGGTGTAGCCTCCAGCGGCCGGGCCCTCCGTGTAGCTACGCGCGCAGGGAGAAGTGAGAGCGTTCGCCCCCACCCTCCTCTGTGATAACACCAAGGGCCACAGGACAAATAGGAGAGGAGGAAGAGGACGCCAAGGGGTGAAGGACGGAGACGGAGGAGGAGGAGGAGGAGAAGGACGAGGAGGAGGAGGAGGGAACAGGAGGAGGAGGAGGAGGAGGAGGAGGAGGAGGAGGAGGAGGAGGAGGAGGAGGGGGGGGGGGCGGAGGAGGACGACGATGATGAGGAGGAGGAGGAGGCGGAAGAGGAGAAGCCGCACTGGCCGAGGGCGGCGAGCTCTGGCAGGCCTCTGAGCAGAGCCTCGGTATCGCGCGGCCGGCGTGGCGGGCGGGCAACCTGCAGAGGCCAGCCGCGGCGCACTCTGGGCACTCCGAACTGGGGCGAGGAGGACCTGGCGGAAAGAAGAGGAGAGGGCGAGGGAGAGGGGAGAGGGGGAATGGGGGAGAAGGGGGGAGGAGGAGGAGGAAGAGGAGGAGAGGAGGAAAGGAGCAGGACGATGAGGTTGAGGCGGGGGTGGAGAAGGAGGAGGAGGAGGAGGACAAGGAAGAGGAGGAGGAAGGCGGAGGAGAAGAGGAAAGAGGAGGAGGAGGAGGAGAAAAGAGGGGAAAAAAAAAATGAGGAGGAGGAGGAGGAGGAAGCGGAGGAGGCGGAGGAGGAGGAGGAGGGGGGGTGCGGAGGAGGAGGACGAGGAGGACGAGGAGGACGAGGAGGAGGAAAAAGACTAGAGAAAGGTGGGAGAGGATGAGAGAGGATAGGAGGACAGGACAGGACAGGGCAGGACAGGCGCCGATACCGCTCCCCGCGCGCGCGGGCACGGGCCGCGCCTCCTCAGGTCGGAGGCGGCGGCGGCGGAGGGCAGAAGAAAACGGAACACCACGGGCGAAGACCACTGAAGAGTGCGGAGGGTCCTCCTGGGCCGCCATCTTGCGCGTCTTGCTCTCGACGATATCACCTGGAAGAAAGAACGACAAATGCATACCCGCCCGTCGGAAGAAGTGAGCAGAAACACGAAGTAAGAAGGCGGATAAAGTAGATTGGGCTCGGGCCCACCCGAAGAACAGCAAAACACAGCAAAAGCAGATCGACTCTTGCAGTAGGAAGGCGCTTGAGGACATGTGGGATCTGGATATCTACAAATGACTATTTCAACGACTGGCGTTAGGTCGGGCATGTCCCCCGTACAGGCGGATTTTGGACGGAACAAATAATCAACTAATACCCCAAAATGGTCAAAAATAGTCAAAACATCTTCCCCCTATTATTTTCTGACTGTTTGAGAACATTCCCCCTGTAGAGGGACAGGCCCGACTTAAGACTGGCGTGTAAGCATCAAAGGATCGCAGAAGTGCGATCGGAGTTCTTGAGCCAGGCGCTGGACTCGCCACCCCCGTGGCGCGCAGAGCTCGCTCCGCGCCGACCCAAGAAATCCACGCGGACCTTCGAATGCTGGTCTTGGTGTGGAGGCCTCCTAGGTGGGGTCCGATTAGATGGGGTCCGAGGATCGCGCCGCAGCGCCCCTCCTACAGCACTGCCGCTAAAACACTCGAGTTCGAGGATACTACTACTGCGCTTGGGTACTATAGTCGTGGATTACTTCTACTTCAATACGACAGTAAGACTACCAATCCGTCCCCAATCCCCGCATGAGACACCGGACCATTGTGCACAAACGGAGCCAATGCGGAATGCGATTGTAACGCAATGC